ATGCAAGGAATAAATAAAGTATGAGAAAAAGCGTATGCAGGTCTCTAGCCTGCATACGCTAAACCATAGACTCCTCCACCCTCTCTGTGTGAAGGAGAGGTTCCGCAGGTCTTTCTTTCCTGCTGCTGTCAGACTGTACAACGAACAATGAGGACTGACGGACACTGCTGACCTCACATGTCGAGAATCTGTGCAATAATTTGAACAAAGATCACAATGTGCAATATAGAACCACATGTGTCATTTTTTCCTCATGCTGCTAATGTACGTATAAATATGTATAATTCTTGCACTAGAATATGCAGTGTCTTATACTTGCTTCTTTATTATGCTTAAATTAGACATTTTAATTTCATTTCAGTATAGAGTTATTGTTCATTTATCTTGTGTTGTGCGCTTCTCTTTTGTAACTGGTTATGCAACACTGAAATTTCCCCACTGTGGGACAAATGAAGGGTCTCTTCAATCTTTCATTCTCTCTAACGTAGCTAATATGGTTGTGCACATAAGCATAACATTTTTGCGCCGCAGGCTGTATATGATTTGATATCTGTGGACATGACAACAATGAAACAGCCAGAGAAAGTCTTTGGTATATTAATCTTAATCTCATACAGTTAATTTGGCTCTAAAACAGAATTAAACAAAGCTTTGATAGGGCCTGACCTTGACTGGACCCATTATTACACTTAACACATATATACGCGTTTGTATTCACTGCATGTTAAGTCAAATAAGATTCAAAACGCCGACTCTGGGTTCGTGTTTCATCATGAGCTGAGCGTGGCAGGATCGTGGACTGGTGAGCGAAACATCTTCTCCAGTGACCATGAAAACCACTTCATTCTCCTCCACATGAATTAAACAAGACTTCTCAGACTTTTTACAGACTTCACAGATTTACATAAAACTAACTCTATTCAAGGGTGGGTTACATCACGGTTGGAATGATGGCCAGTTGTTTTAAATGTTTTAATAAATGAGACTAGCCTGGCCTTAGCCATCCGGTAAATGATAATTTCCCTACATGTACGTCTGGGTCTGATCCTAGTGGCGGCGGTTACCTCGGTTGAATCCCATCCGACCATTCAGCGAGCCGGGGAGGCGGGTGTTGCAGGAAGGTGTCGGTGACGTCAAGAGTTTGCGCTGAATTTGCTATTTGTGGTTTGGCAATGGCGGCAAATGCGACTAAGTAAGCTCTTCAATCCATTCTGGTTCGGCTCCAAACATCAAGAAATTGAAGTCGGAGCAAGAGGAATGTTTAGCTAATTTCAATGCAGGCAAAGACGTTGTGGCTCTACTCCCCACGGACTCAGTTAGTGGCAAAGGAGATGGCTAAAGCTAGGCTATAAATGCCTCACTCACGCAGGCCCATTACATACAGTATGTCACAATAAACTCGGATCCAATCGTTTCAATTTGCAAAAGAAGTTAACCCCTCCCACCTGTTAACCAAGTTCAATGGAGAAAACCCAGATACAAAATAAAATTAGTACAATGGTATAGTAAGAACGGGCTAATAAGAGACAGAAAAAGAGAACATTTTGATTTGCCTGTGGGGAAATTTTTAGATGTGAACTTTATGCTTTGTCGGTGATGGAGGAATAAGATGGGGAGAGGTGTGAGAGATAGAAAATGAGAAAAACAATAATTTGTGTTTGTTTTTGTCGAATGATGGGAGGGCTTCACCTGGTTGCACTCAATAAAACACTTAGTTCCTTCTTTTGTTGATGCCACTGGTTCATGTTGTTCAAGGCTGCTCCTACAATGGCATGTGTAGTCAATGAGTTTACGCACTGTTTGTTAGTAAAACACATTTTAATAAATATCTTTCCCACATATAAAAAAAAAACACAAGACCTACTAAAACATTGGTTGAAATAATACTGACAAATTCCAATTCAAGCTCTTTTAAACCCAATTGTGAATTTGAATGAAATGCTATATGAGGAACAAGTTACATTATTTGAGAAAATTACACAAGTTTATTCAAGCTTGGGACCATCCCAATAGGTGTGGTTAGGTTTAGTAATTCCTTTTGATCTGTTAAAATACATGAATAAGAAAAGTTTTTGTTTGACTTTGAAATGAACAGAGCTTTGCAAGTTTCATCGCAAAAAGTGACAAAATAGACTAGTGTAGTTAACTTGATTTTTAGTGAAATTATCTAATCTTATCTAATGTTTTTGGATGCAGGCTGAAGATACTTAATTTATTACATATTTTTTTGCTTTAAGATATCTCAACAAGTGGAACATGATCCACTGCCAAACAAATACATTTCCTATAGAAGCAGCTATTCTGTCTTGTTGTTTTGGAGCCACTTTTTGCAGTGAAATGCTTAGACATAATCCTGACATATGGATAAAAACGAGGATACATCACAACACAATGAAGACGCCACATTCACAGGTCGTTATTGTTACGTTGGCCTGTTTTGCCGAGCTCAAACGTCTAATAGTCCATGAACCAAAGGGGTGGATTTCCTGTTTTTCTTTGTGCGTCCATTTTCCTTGATCATCACTGTTTTTCTTCTTCAGAGTCATCTCGTTCCAACGTGACGCAAGACCATATTGCAAAAGGCATTTACACCACCGGGACAGTCAAAATGAATTTATAGCGTTGCTTAGAAAAGACTAAAAAGATTTCATTTTGAGCCACAATGGAAGGTGTTGTACATTCACATTAAAAGGGACGTGGGAATGGCTGGCAGAGCTAATAAAGTGATGCGCTTTGTTATGCGTTGGTAGTCCCAGGCTCTCGGCTCTAAACAGATGGGATCTCTCCCACAGGATCAGATAAAAGGCGTCCATCTCCAAGTCTGCAGAGCATGGCACATTCAACAAAGGCTGCATCTTTAAGCCGTGCCATCCGCAGGCGTGCACACAAAAGAGCTTCACTTTAAATGGATGTGGCAGAGCGCACTCCGCCATGATGAGGTTAAACGCAGGCATCAGTCTTAAAGGCAGAGTAAGCCATGCTAATCCACTGCACACTCCAACTATCTCCTCATTAACGCACAGCTATCTAATGTGCGCTTTAATTGGGAAATAAGGCAAAACAATAAGTGCAATGTACAATTAAACGAGCTGGAAAAACAACAAAAAAGACAACATTATTATCGTGGATCTAATTGTTTGGGTATATTCTCAACTTAAAAAGATTACATTAGTGCAAAACCATGTTGCACTTATGTATAATTGCAAGGACTAAGTGGGGCCTGGTTACTGTCTCCTAACTATGGATACATGTTATGCACTGCAAAAAGTAATCAAATATGAGGTAATAAATGCAGGAATCAAGTGTTTTCCAAATCTTAATTTGAGCCCATTCTGACTGTCTTAAAACAAGATTTGCAAATGGGACAAAGCCATTTAGACTAATTATTTCAAGATTTTTTTTATCTTGACTTGTATCTTTTTAAAACATGATAATTTTGCTTATCCCATTGGCAAATCGTATTTTAAGGCAGTCACAATGGGCTCAAATCAAGATGCATTTAGCCAAATGTAACTTATTTTTCATCACTTTTTGCGATTGGTGTGTCTATCGTCTGTTATTGTCACATTCTTGTCTTTTGACACATTTTTCTCTGTCAGGAGACGACAAAGACGAATCCAGACTTAGGGCGTGTTCACAATTCAGTTCCAAGACTCAAATCTCGAATAACACATTTTGCAATCATCGATCCACTTAAAGGGAGATTCAAATCACCAGCATGAATTCTACCGCAATGTCACAAAAAAAAAGAGATAAAACCCAAAATCAGCTTGTATTGGTGGTACTGAAAGAACGCGGCCTGTCACATATTGTACTAACTAACACAGTTTTAGTGTCTTCCTGGTGTGTAGTAAGTAAGTATGTATTATTTTTTATTTATATACCACCTTTCACAGACCAGAGTCATAAAGCGGTTTACAATTGTGGCCATTTGTCTCTCACTCCAGATGGGAGTGAGGTCACCAGTACAGGAGGCGCATGCCAGACCTATTGTAAATATGTTTTTAGTGGTAGGGGAAACTGGAGCACCCGGAGGAAACCTACGCAGACACGGGGAGAACATGCAAACTTTACCCAGAAAGGTCCCGTTCCGACAGGGATTCGAACCCAGAACCTTTAAGCTGAGAAGCAAGAGTGCTATCCGTGCCGCCCATCACTGTTGTCGTGTTGGTGTCTTCCTGGTGTGTTGACGTTTTGGTATCTTACTGTTGTGTTGACGTTTTGGTGCTGTGTTCAGGATTGCGTGAGACCATCGTGGCCATCTTCTTCTACTGAATTGGCTCCTCCCACACGTTGGTATACTGATACTGACTTGAAATTGATGCCTGGAGAATCTAATTCGGTGAAACCAAGGAGACTGACCTTTTGGAAGTGAGACAGTGCCCAGACCCTGGTGAGCAGGTGGAAAACTAGTGTTGCTAAATCTCATTGAAGTCCAGCAGTGGTACCTCTGAGTTAAAAAAGGGTCAAAAATACGCCTGCCTGGAGAGGGTTTTAATAAAATGATCCAGTGGTGATGATCCAGGACACCCACCCTCAACATTTATGAACCTTTATGGACCAATGACTATGTGTTTTAATCATTGCATTTCTTGTGTTGAACTGTTTGAATCTCTGATCTGTGTTGGTGAATTCAAAAGCTTTGTTAAGTCCTCTGAGATCACTACTGTTATGATTAAGGGCTATATAAGAATACATTGAATTGAATTGAAATGAAAACACGCTACACGGGCCATTTAAAGTGAAGTCCAGTTCACTCGGGACTGAAGTGTAAGCACAGCCTTCACGTCTGTCCTTGAAACCAGGAGATGTCATTAATACAAACAGAAAAACGCAATTAATAGCTACTCCACCTTTAAGTCTGGACGGCACATGCACACAATCATCTCTGTCACTGAGATTAAAATAGTCCACTCGGAACAGGACGAGACACGTACTCTCGCTTTCGTACCAGGTGAGTGTGAGTCGAGCTCAGCGTCTATAAATAATGCACCGCACCATCAGACAGTCAGAGGGAGCTGCCACACCATGAGGACATTCTCCGACCCCTCTGCACCCGTCCTGTTCGCTCCTCTCTCCTTCAGTCTCCGGAAGCCTCTGCCTCCGGAGAGCACGGCCACCGAGCTCACCCGGTCCTTGCGCGCCGCCTCCCGCTCGCACGGACCCCGCCCCCGCACCCACATCTCGGGGTCGTCGCTCAGCTCGTAAATAGAGCCGTCCTCCACGCTGTGCTCCAGGGACTCCAGGGAGGATTCGGAAACCTCGTCCCCGTCGGGCGATAGCAGGTGCCCTGGCAGACCGGAGGTGGAGCGCAGGCGGTACTGGAGGATCACGCCGCGGCCTCGGCCTCTGGGCTCGGCCTGGTTTGAGGAGGACTGCTGCTGGAGCGACTCTTGTGAGGAGGTGTCACTGCGCTCCTCTCCACCGCACGCAGAGTCTGGACCGTCGCACCATGAGTCTCTCTTGAGAAGCTCTGGGGACAGGGAGCTGCTGGTGGCCACGAGGAAGTCGACGGGTCCACTGTGGGCGTTCAGAGAAATCATCCCTTTACCTGTGCGACAGATGTACACAAGTCAATAGAGCATAGATTTCACCAACCATGTCACTCCATCTACTTATTACCCTGCAAGATATGTAAAATTTTAAATGTCATAATAGAAATAAAAATAATCGCTAATATCAGGAACTTCTGTATGTAACTCGTCTCCTTCTGTCTAAATGTATGATGGCATTGCACCACTGTGACATCACTCAACACAATTGCATGGTTGTGGTTGTAGCCGGTAATTTTCAAATTTGTGAGATAAACAACAAATATTCAACTGCTCCCTCTGGTGGTAGTGTCAGGAATTACAGTCAGAAAGCATGTTCACCTTTCATACTTGTTTTACCGTTTACTATCTACTACATTGTACTTAATAAGGCCAAGTAGAAAGTAAACTGTTTTTAACAATAGAAAAAAACTACCTCATTTGACAAAAGAAAAAGAGTGTATTTTTTCTTCAGCAGAAGCAGAGGTACTATGACAGCAGCTTGGTAATTGCAGAGAGCTGATTTAAATCAAATTCTCATCATGTATCTTCACCTGTTTTGAATTCACAGACTGCAACTGCATTAATTACTTTGGCGGGTTTTATATTTACATGTTGTTCAATAAACTGACTGACAATAAAAACCGTCGTGAGTACAATACAAGTGGGAATGTAATGACCTCCTTCAGGCCACATATTAAACAAAAACGCTGCCAGGCACTTTTTAAATTACCCCGGCGGAATATATATATATATATAAATGTACGTATACATATATAAATAATATAATATATACTGAACACTCTATGATTGGTCTGTTGTCGGCTTGGAACTCTTTGCACCAATTCTTTGTGCCAGAGGAAAATGTGAAGTGTGACCTCAATAATGGACAGAGCAGAGTAATTTTCCATCATAAAGAATCTCTCTTTGACCCCGGAGAGACTCTTCTTTCAGTGTGATTCCTCCTCGGGACCATACCTGTAATTTTGGGGATGCCTTCCAATTTGGGAACGGGTAGAGTGACAATTAGGCCTTGTGCGGTGCCCACCCATAAGAGACCCTGGCAAATAAGCAGGCTTGTGACACGCATCTTTTGGCCTGAAACACAAAATACAAACATATGAATTTATTTGGTTAAGGATTAAGGGACAGACGACCATAAACATGGAGACTAGAGAGAGAGAAACCAGAGAGATAGACCAGAGGGAGTCCAGAGCGATACCAGGGGGAGAGAAGACAGAGAGACCACAGACACCAATGAGAGAGACCAGAGACAGAGACCAGAGAGAGAGACACCAGAGAGAGTCCAGACAGAGAGATCACAGAGGGAGACAGCAGAGAAAGAGAGACCAGCGAGAGAGAGACCAGAAAAGGAGACCAGAGAGAGAGTCCAGACAAGGGAGACCACAGAGGGAGACCAGAGAGAGTCCAAAGAGACCAGAGAGAGAGAGAGTCCGGAGAGAAATAGACCAGAGAGAGACCAGATAGAAAGAGACCAGAGAGAAAGTCCAGAGAGAGACCAGAGAGACAAAGTCCAGAGAGAAATGCATGTATATATGCATGTACAATGTTTTAGGGAGTATGTGTTTGGGGAGAAGACAGTGATAAATAAGGAATGAGGGTGTATGTTTCATGTATGCTCTGTAATAAGTTTATTTAATTTTTTTATTTTCATCTTTGTTTTTTTGTCATGTTTGTTCTGTTTGAGATTGCACTTTAGTGTTGTTTTTGTGTTCTTGTTGAATGCTGTCTGTCGGTTGTAATGAAAAAAACAAAAACAAAACAGATGACCATAAACAAAAATTGCAATGGAGGTGAAAGATCTGTAAAGGTGTGAGAAGTTTCAACTTTTCAAAAACATGTTTCACTGACGACAAAAATGCTATAATCCGCCAACATGGAAGGTCAAAAAACAGTTTTACATGTCATTATTCATTCACTCCATACACGGTGGTGATAAACTACTACTGTAGCCACAGCTGCCCTGGGACACACTGACAGAAGCGAGGCAGCCAGTATGTGCCATCGGCCCCTCCGATCACCACCAACCATTCACACACACCAGACTCATTCTAGGCAATGGGGGTGAAGTGTCTTGCCTATGGACACAACGGCCGTTTGGCACTTTACAGCCACAGCCGCCCCACTGTGGCATCAGATGTTCCCAGAGGTTTAGTGTCTTGCCAAGGACACAACGACAGCAGACATGAGGGGGAGTAGATGGAGTAGGTCTACAAGTCGTAATGACTGTAGACTGCCTAAACGTAGCTCAGCCTTTGCGCAGACATCCTTCTCATTCAAAGGCATCAAAGAATGGAACAAACTCCCACAGAGTCTGAAACTTTCCTTAGACCTGAAAGATTTCTCTCGTAATACAAAAAAAGTGCTGTTGGTGAACCAGTCATGTCAGCACTGATAATTGTAAATGTAAATATGACCGTTAGTGATGTTTTATGTAGTAATTTTAGCATGAAATTATGTGGACTGATGGATGTAACGGGTGAATGTATGAATGAATATTTGTATTTGAGTGGTTAAATATATTTTATATTGTACATGTTGTGACTCACCTGCTCAGGGACTACAGATGGAAACTAGCTCAAGCTAAATCTGGTGCAAAGCATCTTTAATTAATGTATTTGCACATTGTCCCTGTTGAAATAAATTAATAAACTTAACTTAAACTTAAACCTTCAGGCCAAAAGCTCTACCAACTGAGCAAGCTACTGTCGCCCATTTTGTATCTTGTTTATTGTTTATATTGTTTTCTTTTGCATAACATTTGAAATCAATTCTGTACTATACTAATATACAACATTAAGTTTTAAAAAGAAAGAAAGAAAGGTGGTCATACTGTATGTATGTGAGTATTAAGACATAGGGTAAGATGACACCATGTTAAAATAACCTCCCGACTTTCAAAATAAGCAAAAGACTAGTGCCCTGACAACCAGAGGTAATTGCATTAAAATAGACTACACCAGGTTTAGAGTCCATGTGGAGCAAAATAAAACATTGTCAAATAAATATTTTTGAATGACGATTTGTAAAGAAAGTGCCGGGCATACAAAAGCCCAAACTTCTCCATCTGACCCACATGTAAACAACTTTAAACAGTTTTGTTCTGTTGCTGGCTAAATTATTGTTGTATTTGGTTGTGTTCACTATAATGCTTTTTTCCCAGTGGGAAGTGAAACTGAACAATAGAATTTTATTTTTCAAAAGGCAATTTTGAAACTTTACTATGTGACTCTAATATCTGACACATGTATGAAACAGAGTGAAATCTATTAAGCCTAAAGTTATTATACTGGATAAGGATTGTATGAATAAATATTCTGTATTATTCTGTAGAAAAAATTATATAACCGTCATGACGAGATAATTTGATTTAAAAGGATGTATAACATGTCATAGTAGGTTTTGAAAATGAACCCCTGTAATGCTCCCACATCCCACTAGGAGTCTGCGTACCTCCAGTTGATAAACACTGACATAGATCATTATATAAATGGCACATCAGAGGCTCGTTCCTCAGCTCAGCCCTCGTTTCTAACATGCCTGTACCGGCTGTAATAAAGATATCTTCAAAAGATAAATATTTCTTCTCAAGCAGCATGTCAGTGTAGGAAAGTTTATTCTAGAGAAATGTATTTGCACCCAGTGGAGGATGCTATTAAAGGAATTAGCCGAGAGGAGATCAGTAGTTCCGCCGCTTCTGAAACTTCTTCTTGTCGTTTGCTGCAAGTATAAATCCCAGTTGAATAGAAATATTAGAGGTTGTATCATTACAGCTCGTCCTATAGTCAAGGAGAAACTTAAAGAAACAAGGAAGCCATTGATAAAAGAACCTATTACTATTTTATGAAGCATATCTGCAAAGCATCAAGGGAAGATCTTTTCTCTTGTGAGCGCAACAAATCACATCACAACTCAAAGCTCTTTGTGTTTTTAACCCCCGGAGGACATGACCGGCAGCTGGTTTTCCCCTGGATCTCCCTGAGGGGCTGCTCCGCCAGGCAGCCACCCAGCCTCAGATCCACTGCATATTTTAGTGTGAGAGCCAGAGCTGAGAGACGAGGACCTCTGGGTCACCGGCTTTCTGCAGAAACATGGACCTGGATTCATAACTACAGTATATCAAGAAGCATTTCCACTTATGTCGAAATGTTTTGGAAGGAAATTGTGCAAAGGAATCATTGGAAAAAAAAGCATTGGCTTTTAATGGTAAAAAAAATAAAAACAGGGTAAAAGAACTAAATGAAAGTTTTTGGGAAAATGGTTGATCACTTATGCTAATGCAGTGGATCAATACTGCAGCGTGCATAGGAGGCAGTGGGCCCAACTACGTGCCAGTGGTAGACGCCTGGGGCAGCACAATATGTGACAAGCATATTTTTACTGCTTTCAGTCACAAGTAAAGACTGTAAATATTAACGAACGTAGTCACGCCTTTCCTGTAAAGACGTTTTCGAGAGGAAAGACGCCATATAAAGCAATGGGCAATTCTTATTCTGGGTCCACCGCCACCAGGAGTGAGATTGGATGGAAAAGCAGCTTTGTCTCACAGGTTTAGCAGCGAGAAGGAGGCATCAGCGGCTGAAGTGCAGGAGACACGACACCCGCAGACTGCAGACCTTCAGCCTGAGGTCTGGGGTCATGGACCAGCTGGATTTGGGCTGTCACCATATGAGCATTTGGTAAGAAGGCCTTTGTGGATACAGTGTTTGAGAGTAGAGTCATCTGACCAGAGGCTGCACAGCGCTGCACTCTCTCACTGCTCAGTGGGAGAAGGAGGCCTTCAGCAGCAGGAGACGTAAACCATTGCAAACCTTTGTTGCAAGAAATGCTCTATAATATTACAATTTAATACCTAACTGGTCCCTTTGATCTGGAAATACAACGAGTGCAAAAAGATGAGCTTCAGCTGTCTGCGCAATAATAAAGTAAATTTGGTGTTACTTTATTGTAGCGTTTGGGGCAGAATCAGGTGTAAAATAAATACCCCCATCATATCCTATAATATTAAATAATCATTGTCAAGATTATGTTGCAAACACATATTTTCATAATAACGAGCAGGCCTGATTATAATATTTAAGACCCACTAGCAGTAACATGCGTCTGAAGATCGAGGCATTATCATATTAAACAAATACTGTAAAATACATTGTGTGGTAGATTTTGGTGAATGAACAAGTCTTTATATAAAACAACTGCTTCCCCCCAGTTTTGATGCACTCAAGCACTTACAGCATGGATTACATGTGATTCACCAATCATTTGAGTAAGAAGAAAAAGGAGAACATGCGGATTGAAAGTAAAGTTGTGTAAAGTGTGCCTAAAAGTAAATACGAGCAGAGAAGAGAGAATGCTGAGCCAGTGAATAAAAGGCTAAATTACCTGCCATGCCTGAACATTAAAAACACAGCAGTGTTTCCATGGGAAACTACATCTTTACTAAAGCCATTTCACCACTTCTTTTCTCTTCTAGTTCTGTTCTGTAAAGCACTTGAGCTGAATACTTTTACAGGTGAGATCCCATGAGCCTCATGGACAAGACTGTAGATTTATTCTGCTCAGGACAGCAGTAACACTCGTAACTTCTGCCCCCTCCTGGTCCCTAGTGCGAGTTGTGCGACCTCAGAAGAGGAGAGGGCTCTACTCTGGCGTACGTACCAGTGTTGAGAAGTGTGGAGCGCATGGAGATGTTGATCTCCTGCAGAAGCTCCAGCGTCTCCGTGTGAAACAGACGAAGGGACGACCCCTCAGAAAAAGCCATCCACACCCCGCCGCCGGCCTGCGCCATGTGTGCCACACTCACCATCGGCTCTGGGTGCACTTCAAACTTCTGAAAACAAACAAACAATCACATCACAACAAGACATACACGTGTATACACTGCAAAAAATGATTGTGACTGTCTTAAAATAATGTTAACCAATGGGACAAATTCTGGACCCATGTTGTCTGTTTTTACCTGTTTGTACTATGAAGCGCTTTGTGGCCTGGTCTGTGAAAGGCGCTGTGTAAATAAAGCTTACTTACCTTTTATTATTTTCTCATTCCAGGGTAGATATTTCTTGTATCTCTTTAAAACAACATGATTTTGCTTGTCCCATTGGTAAATCCTGTGCTCCTCAGAGTCCGAGTTGGTTCACATGTCTCGGCTGCACTTTGGTGCGAGGCCATGGAGAGACTTGTACACAAGCAAATTTCCCTTCATTTAGTACATTTTATATATGTATCTTAAATACCTGAATCGAGTCATTTTCCACCTCTGCTAGATAGTTATGAAGAAGGAATACTATTTTATCATTACGTCTGACATAAAGTAACAAAAGAAAATGCGCCTTAAGTAAATGACCTACTGCTAGAAATCTATATCAATAGAATAGTTTTCTTATACTTCTACCACGGCTGACCCTGTTCCAAATGGCGACTGACAAACACAGTTCATTAGGTCTAAATGAGTTTTACAAAAAGCCCTCTGTGTTTGGTAAGCATTGCGCTCTAATCTTCTTTAAATAAAGTGGTTCCTCATTTTGTCATTTACTTCTGACGCGCAAGGCAAGTTTTTCTGTATCCCCCTTGGTCGCTGTGTTTTTTATGCACACAATGAGAAGAAAGGAGTTTGAGGCAAGGAGTGGTAATGAGTAGCTCTGTGTAAAACGCAATGAGCCTTATCACGGGGACGCATGCAGCCCCCGCGGTCCAAGGCGTGACAGGGGCTGGTTGAGGCCCTATCTTGGAGCCCCTATCGCTGTCACTGCACCAGCCTGGGCAATTAGTCAGTCAGTGGAGATGAGAGGCACACCCAGCTCCTCAACACAAGTGCACTGGCGGATTACCACCTGTTAGTGTGCCCTTGCCAATGGGCCCTTCTTTGTTTGAAATTAGGAGGAAAAGAGACGAGTCTTTGATGTGTTCCCCCCCCCCCTTTCTAAATGAATTCTCAGCTGCAGATGCATGCTCCGTCTGGGAGATGCTGGCCAACAAACAGAAGGTATCTGTAATAAAAGTGCAAATTTCACCTTCACTCGCTTACTGCTGTTACTTAACACTATAGGCGCACTGGGAGTTCGCCTGCGAGAGCTGGTGTCACATATATTGAGTTTGTGAGCGAGACTTTACAAGGCCATTTTCAACTTGCTTCTGTCTGCATGCATCACATTTCATTGAGAGGGTGTGTATTGCACTAGTGGCAACACTTTCAAACATTCATACATTTATTGCCACGTTTATCAACTTCAATACACCATCTTCTATTTGTGGATACGAGAATCCCGAGATTAACTGCGAGAAAGTGTCCATTTTAACAACAGTGTGTATGCCTTTGCTTTGAAAAGAGTGCCATAACAAAGAAAAATAGTAAAAAGGCTGATACAAATGAGGTCAGGTAAAGGGACTTGATTGAATTATAAATTACATCTACATCGTTTGTCAGCCAGACGGATTAAAACCTTGAACATAATTTGTATTGCCATTGTATTCTTTACTGTACACCTACCTATTAGTCCTTCAACTTTTAAACCATTAAAACTATATTCATTCCATTTTTCACACAGCAATTCTGGCCCCTAAAATCATTACATACTATGTTGGATTTGATTTTAGTTGAGTAAGAGATTTTTATTTTATTTTCTACATTCTTCACTTTTCTTATTATGTGAATCGTCATTATTATTACTATTATTATTATTATTATTATTATTATTTGTATTATTATTATTATCAGTATTATTATCAGTATCAGTATTATCATTTTAGTATTAGTATTATTATCATCTATTTACTTTACTTGTTTGGCTCATGGGTGAAAAGACAAAGAAATGTGTCTAATATGGTATTTGAAATTTGCTTTGATCATGTCGAGATGTACTGTGCAAATACACAATAAAGTGTAAACAAAAACTAATTACATGTATTTGGTCTCCTCTTCGAATTGAGCATAAGAACAAGGCATCTCTTTTACCGCATTGAAAAGAGCTTTACCTGAAATTACCTCACACCATTGAAATAATTACTGCAGCAGGATCACAAATCTGGTATCTGAGAATACACATCACATTACCGACTGCACGTGAATATGAGAAAATGTAGTCAATTACTGAAGGGAGGAAAATAACCAGAACTACTTTGATCAAATTTTCCACCTCATTAACGACACTAAAACTCACAGTGCGCAGTAATAACATGTAATTACAGAGCGCCTATATGGATGCTCAGAGCATTTGGGTTGCATGTCACTGTACTAGCATTTGTACTGTTAACTTTATGTACAAAAACATGGTCCGTGTCAGAGAAAGAATGAGCCAGAGCTGCAGCTGTTTGCCCGAGCCAGCCACCTGTTATTATCCAGCACTGCTTACAGAGATGAGCCGCTCACTGGAGCCTGACAGAAGTAATGTGGCCTTTAGACTCAACCCGGCAGAGTCGTGCAAGCCATCAGCATCCCAGTGGAGTGGTTTAGTAGCACTATAGTCATGTAGTCGTGTAAGTCATATGTGTACCAAAAGACAAAAAAATAAAAATGAAACAGGATACAAAAAGGAATCCACAACACAGTTTCAAAAGAGGTATGACGAAGTGGACGTCTTGGTTCTTTGGTTCTCGGGGTAATGTCAATGTCAGCTTTGTAATTTGTATAGCACATTTACAACAACACCAGCAACCCAAAGTGCTTCACATACATACAATAAAATAGATTTTAAAAAAACAGCATGAAATACACACAAATACGTATACATTGTAAATGGTAACAACTCAATTGGTTATTTTAATGCCAAGGCGTAGACTTCATTTAAAAACCTCCAATGATGGAGATGCTCTAATGTGCAGACAGTGATCCAGGACACTTGATATTCAACATAATTTATGGACATTGGTCACATTTTTTTATCATTTCTTGTGTTTGAATGGTTTGATTCTCTGCTCTGTGTTGGAGAATTCAACGGTTTTGTAAAATAAACTGTACAGCACAGCCCCAAACACTCTCTGACCCTACACACGTTTCGCCCATCACACACTTTTTTAGTACTTCTTTAATATTTCATATTTGAACAAACAAACATTTTAATCCAAAAGGGTAAGTTGTTGCAAAGAGTACCTCCTTGCACTGGGATACATGTTTTAATGTAGTTCTAAATGTTAAGTCAGTGGAAAGAAAGGGAAAGGGGCCACAGCTAAGGCCACACACACAACATCTGCTCTGAACAGATCATTAGGCCTTCATTACGCCAATTGACAAGGTGTCTCTGTCCTCTGGCCGGTCAAACAGCTCTCCTCCTTTCCACACAACAGGCAAGTGGGCAAGTGTGAGCGAGGGAGTGATGGAGGGGGACAGGTGGGAAGAGTAAAAGTAATAGAAAGAGGAAGGAACAAGGAGCTGCCAGCCAGTAGTGATCAGAGTCCAAATACCCATGTGTGTCCAAGACAGTTACGGCAGCATTGTTAGGGGACGTCTCTCACGGAGGGGTTAGCAATACCGGGTTAATAACGCACAAAGCGCCAAGCCTCCATCAATACTGCATTCACACGATGCTTTTTACCTTTTTGTGCGCACATTGCACACATTTTAATGGGACATTCCCGTAATGGTGCGTCGTAAGGAGTCATGTAAGTACCATTAGTTTTGGAGATGTTTTAATATGCGCATAATCTATGTGTATTGGTCTAATTTGGGTATGACATTATTGAAAAGCTAACCACGTATGCAGTTAAATGTTTGAATACATCGACATATAAAGGGCAGGGTTTTCCTAGTATGTTGGTGAGGTGGTGGCTGCTGGCAGTGAGGTTGCGGTGACATATCCAAGCATTCTCTATGGGCCAAATCAGTGTAATCATTAGTAGAAATGAATGTGGACCTCTGCTCTCTCCCATGCAGCAACATTTCAGCAGCAGCACTTTGGGGAATATGGGGCTAGTTGTTGCTTGTTGGCGAAGTCAAACATGTCTGGCGTTTTTCTTTTTCATTTTTTATTCAGATATTTTTTTCCTTGATTACATTTTTTCCCAGCCGTGTTGTCAATTTCATGGCCTCATCTCTCTCCCGTTCCCTCCCACTCTCTTTTATGTGTTCAAACACTTACCCTGGAAACATAATTCCCTATTTGCAGTTTTTTCTCCACAAACTGCATCTTCATTGGTATAAAACTAAGATTCACATTTTAAATAGAAGTCATTCCACCAAAATACATAAATCATAGAAAAGCACAAACACATGCACTTTTTATACCAACTATTTTGAGATTTTAACCATGCAGACCCGTAGTGGTTTTAAGATCCATCCTCTCAAATATCAGATACTTCAGTGATAATCATGTAACTCCGCCCCTTCTTTCTAAAAGCTCCCGTCTCAATAGTGCAATTGAAGGATGTAATCACAGAGCCTTTTGTCTTTAGAAATAAAGGATTGCCCAAGAAATAGTTTTGGCACATTCTAAATTGAATGGCTCATGTTGCATATATTTTTTTCCTATATATTTTTTTCTGCAATTACATTTTTTTCAGTCTTGCGTTCCCTCGCACTCTCTTTAATGTATTCATACATTTACCCAACATACTTCCAGATTTGCTTACGTACAGTGCGTGCAATTGGAACGCCTCCATTTTATTTTTCTGCAGAAAAATATGTTGCGAATGATGATATTTTGAGATATCCATACTTGTCTATCAATTTCCAGGAAATTTCACGGCGGCGTTTTATGTCAGGTCTATAATTTTCTTGTAGTCCCAGAAGAACAGGCTGTGTGCATAATCAAATAATACGAGGAGCGCAGAATAAAATAAAATATATTTGTGTTTATCCTCCCTTGGGTTTATTTTCTCCAATATTTGGAGTTTGCA